TGGGTTAATTTTGTGTGCCTGTGTGCGCACAGGAACGTAATATGATACGTTAATGGGATAAAATTGGAACTTGAAGCAAAAATAATTCGCCAATTACGCTTCAGGGATGAGTAAGTGAAGGTGTTCCTGGGATTGAGGTCTTTCAGACAGCTACGTTGGATCGACAATAATAGTTTTCTACAAAGAAGAAAGAATCGTAGATGTAGCATGCACACATTACAAATAGGAAATTGATATTTCGAACTAAATGAATAAACGTGAATCCAATGACTGGTCAATTTAGTTCGTGAACACGACAGAAAGCGTTTTCAAAGTGCGACATGCGCGCTCAATGAAGGGCATCAGGGCACTAGTTTGAAAAAATAAATAACTCGATTTTTGTCTTACCCGGTACTGTTGGAACCCTAAAAACTCCACCCAATCAGCGACATCGTCAATTTTCCAAGACAGACAAGAAGGAGCTCCATCGGAGTCAAAAGTCGGTTCGAATCCATTGTCAAACTTAGTTGGAGTCTTTCTCGAACTTCTCACAAGTCCTTCCGCCATCTTTGTTTACCATGGCAACATTGTGCTATCCCAAAAGTCTCTACGATACGAGATATCAAATTTGGCGGGGGATTGGGGGTGGTGGGTGAGGCAAATACACAGATTCACCTTTACTATGCGAGGGAGGGGAGGCCGGGATATGTTGAAACCCATGAGAAGAAGAAATCATCGAAATTACGATTTCGATCACAGCTCTCGTTTTAGCGGACACCCTCGGGATCGTCATTTAGTTTCCGTCATAGCGAGAGTCCACAATAGACCACAATAGCGGGGTGTCATGGAAATGACGCAGTTTTTGGTTCTGAAAACTCTTTCAATAATTCCATTTTCTTTTAATCTGTAGTATACATTTATTTTTATACATAAACATGTAACATAGGTCAAAAAAGTGAACAAACTAGTGAACATTCCAACACTGCAGATTAGTTGCCATTCAATACGTCGAGCTGTCTGTTGGTTTGGGACCACTTGAAGTGATAACGGGAGTTATTTCCATACATGTCTTTGTAGTTCGGCCGGGGATGTAGCTTTTGTCCATAATAGCGGGTTGTTCGCAAGGCGCGAGTTGACTGTATTTCCACAAAATGGACTTCTCAGAGGTCCATCCAAGGGAAAAACGACAAGAACAAAACCCCAGAGAGGCAAACAAAAAGGGATGCAATTGAACTACTTTTATTAAAAAATGATTGCCTATTTTACACTCTACAGACCTATGGTTTACTTTCAGCGTACTCTTGTGAATTTTAAATTTATTCCAACTACTCGTTGATTTTCATTTTCCTTCACAGTAGCGAGGAAAATTTGTTTCATCTTTACTTATCGATTGTTACTACCTTCGTTTTCCAAGAATCACGCGCACGAACCAAACAAACGACGTAGAGTAAATTTCAATGCGGTCTATACTATTAAATTAGTGACTTAATTCTTTTCTGGGTACAAAATCACTGCACGCCGTGGAGTCCTTGTCTTGTTCAAGCTTCATCGTGAATTATCTGTTGTTTGTAGTCTGGTTTTATAGCCTCAGTCAAAGACTTGGCATACATATCCAGGCGGGATGTCATCTGAAAAAACAAAACAAAAGTTACTTTTTGAGTGACCCAAGTAGTAAGTAGAAAGACGGGCACCATCATCTTTTTAGCTCTCATTTGGGGTACTTCTTCAGATGTTCTATTAAGAAGGAAATTTAGAATAGCACTTTCACATGAAAATTCATTCTGTACTGCGGAACATTTCAATCAACACATCGAAAATATTTGATTATTAAAAGCCTTGAAGCGATCTGGCTGCAAGTCAAATTCCCTAGCACCTCAGTCTTATTTTCAGTTATGTATAGGCAACCAGATGATAATGAATTCTTCAATCTCCTCAGATGCCCGCTCGAAAAGACCTAGTTGAAATCGTCAAACATCGCCTTGTTGGGTGATTTCAACTGCGGTTTTTCTATGGGAGATGATTTGAACGGTCTTCTGTCGTCGTTGAGTAGGAACAGTGAAAAACTACGTTCAGTCTTTGACATGTTCAATATGCAAAACATCGTACGGAAGGCCACGACAACAACGTTACAGTCACGTACTTTGATAGAACTTATTGTAACCACAAGAAAAGACCTTGTTAATTCCACGGACGTATTCCCACTGGGCATTTCCGATCACAACTTCATATATGCAACACTACGCTAGGCAAAATCCAGTCCGATATTTAGGGAAATCAGATTTGCGATAAAGTAAGTTAATTTCTTATATTTCATTCATTTTATCAGTAGGTAATTAGAAAATTAGATAATTAATTAGATACACGACCCCTCATGCATGTAGTGCTTAAACGATAATCGTGTTTTAAATACAAGATTTTACTTTACGCTTGAAGAACAAAAGACCTCCACCGAAGTACATAAGAACGAGAGACTATAAAAGATTGGATGATGACAAATTCAGATACGACATCGAAACGGCGCCTTTTCACATCTCACAGGTTTTTGAAGACGTGGACGATGTCTTATGGGCTTGGCAGCACTTATTCAATATTATTTGCGATGAACACGCCCCATTGAAAGAAGTCACATTTGGAAGCACATCAGCACCGTGGATCACCAATGCTATCCGCTATAAAATGAACCGGAGGTATAAGCTATTCAAGGCAGCAGTTTCATCTAAATGCCTCAAGCTGCGCCAAGAGTACAAGCAAGCTAGAAATGAGGTTACGTCGGCTCTAAGGCAAGCCAAAGCCACATACTTCTCCAAAATGTTCACAGAAGTCAAGACATGAAACTAGCACTTAATAGAACTTACTCAATAAAGCGATAAATCCAACGGAGCACAAGAGCATCGGCCCTCTCAAAAGAGACGACGGCAGTCTTGCGCTGACTGACGAGGAGAAAGCCAGTCTAATGAATTCATATTTTGCAACGATTGGAGAAAAGCTGGCAGCGGTACTTCCGTGTGTGGATAATGGTCAACAATCCATCGTACATACTACAAACACAAGCACTGAACCTCCACCTCTTGCAGAGCTCGTGATTTCCCAGCGCTCAATACACGAAAAAGTATAATTATGCCTACCCCTTATTATTACATTGTTATTAGGTCTTTCTTTTATTTTATACACAACCCCCAGCTTTCTAATCTAGTCTAGTCTAATCTAGTCTAGTCTAATCTAGTCTAGTCTAGTCTAGTCAATAAGAGGACAGACGCATAAAAAACTGACGTCAATTTGTTTTTTACAATAACAAGACCCCAAAATGGTCAAATGCCGGGAATAAATGAGGGGAAAAGACGACATAAACTTGCCGTAAACAAAGATAAGTGAATTTAATTCAAAGTGAAGCGAACATTGTCAATAGCTTTTCTTGCTTTTTGATTGGCTACTTAAAAAAGTTCATAAAATCTCATTGGTTAAAAAGTTGACAGTTTGACAGCTGAAAGTTGAACTTGAAAGCTTGCAAATTACAATTTTATCCGCCTGTACTTATTGATGATAAAAATGAGCCAATCACCACGCAAGAAATGAGACAGTTATTGTAAAAATTACTATGATAACCTCGTGCCCAGATTCTCAAACTGGTAGCGAGCCTTATCTGTATTGCTGATACCGTTATTGGAGTAAGATATTTATTTTTACTTTAAAAAGACACAGACCTGAAAGCACCACTTGTCTTTGACTTGTCTACAAAGGTTCAAATCCACCTCGGTCACGAGTAGACCATCATTAACTCTTGATAATCCCTGTGACAAAAGAATTGTGCAGAAAATAAAAAAGTTTAGGAGGGTCGGCATATCTCCAATATCTCTGCATCTTAATTAAGAAATTTGTACTTAAGATATTTCAATAACCTAAACGTGACAAACTTACTGGAGTGCGACTTCCATCTGGTGCAGCAACGTAAGAGGAACCTAACCGAATATTCGGACAGTGATAAGTAAAGTACATCCAATCGAGAGAGGGAAGTTAGAAATATTCATTCACAAAGATTAACAAATGATTTTGAGCAGGAAGAAAGTGATGTCAGAAGTAACAAATGTGTGAAATTTTCCCAAAACTAACAGCTGTGAGCAAGCTCTCTCCCCATCACTGGCTACTACAAGAGTTGCCAAGACCACTTTAAGACCAGTTTTAAGAATTTGTTAACTGATAGACAAGGGTCATTGGATGTACATAAGCAAGTAAGACATAGTATATGGAGCATATACCAAGTGGTAGTTTTGCTCACTGGCTATCAAACAGTTGCGATAAAACTCACCATAAAAGTGTCCAAAATCCTTGTGAGCTTTGCAAGGAAAAAAAATTATGACCAGTCACAGTCAGAAATTTTGTTAAACAATATCTGTTCAGTCCAAGCCTGCTTTCCTGTTAGCAACGTTCTAACAGCAAAAAAAACTTAGTTTGTTACAAAGCTGCTGGGTGCAACATGGAATAATCACGAGACTAGCACAATTTTCCAATTACTGTGGAAAAACAAATTAATTTAAGCCATATTCATTTCAGTACCTGAAGCACAGGAAAATGAACTTAAGCCTAGTCACCAGTCACTTTGATTTGGTACTGATAGGTTGAAAAACTGTATGATTTTGATGGTCTTATTATCAATAATGATAAAGAAGAGCTTCTTCCAAAAAGATGAAAATAACCAATTGAGGACTGGAGTGCACAACTCATACCCTATTTCAGACCAAAATGGCTAAAATCTATACCCTAAAAAGACCAAAACAGCTCCAAAAACAGTACCCTCTAGTGCTGCACATACCTATATCAATTCTGGAACAATGGCAAATAAAAAATAAAATATGTTACAAGTGTTCTGCTATAAACAAACAGTTACCTGGTTTGCCATCTCCAGATGTAAACTCATTTTCAAAGACTTCCTGTTAGTGGTAAAAGAATATTGACTTGAGTAACTGGGAAAAATTCTTAGGTGAGAAATTCCAGAAAACTCAGGTAAAATCAAACTTGTTAAACAAAATTGATTTCATTACAAAAACACAACAAAAGAGAATGGATTGAAGCAAACTGCACTCACAGTGCCAATCCTGTTTATTGCCACTGTGAAATAGGTATTAGCAATGGATGCACAACGTGCCTCAATGGGCCACATTGGTTCACTAGAAAATAAAGATAACACATTACTTTGTAACCTTGTGGTCTGAACATAATGATGGAAACCTTATACCCATACAGTGGAGTCCCCATTTCTTAAACCCTGCTTCTGTGTAACCTTCCGATAGCTCAAACCAAAAGTTGTATTCCTTTCATCAGTTTAGAACACTATAATTTCTAACCCCAATTTCAAGAAACTACTTGATTTTTCAAACCAATATTTATTTCCCTTGGAGATATGAAAAATCAGAATTCCACTGTATATAACACGTATACAGCTGTGTGGGTAAAGTTGTGCTGCTTCAAGTTTATGTATTACCACTGCTTAGCAAAGGTAAAGGAGGAAAACTTGAAGCAAGCACATGCTTAAATCTAAAAACAGAATAATTAGTCATTGAAAGGAGGCCTATTTTTGTTGTATAAACTTGAAATTTGCCAAAAAAATCATGAAGTAAGTTTAGTTTATCACTTTGTACCTAAGAGCACCCACAGTTGCTGAAGGATTAAAGCAAATCTCAGCACCGTTTACTCCATACATCAGCCAGTTCAGGGGATGATGTCTGCCATAACAAATGTTCACAGCAATTCGACCTGTAACAGACCAAAGTAATTTACACTTACATTTACATTTATACATGGACCTCTACATGGCAAAGGTTGCCCATCCCACCATGGAGTGCTTAGTGCAGGTGCATGTGATCAAGTTAATATAATGCAAAATACTACTGTGCTGTCCATGGTGCTCTTATCCTCTGACTCTCAATAAATTATTCCTTTCAACCCTGATGTCAACATTCATGTAGGAATTGTCCCTTGCAACAGTCCAGCACTAGAAAATTATGGAAGATTTTCGCTATTTGTTTAGACAAACTCCTTTTGATGATCTACTGAGTTCTTAAAAGCTCGACTTTTTAAAATATTTTGGAAGTTGATCATAATGTTTTCAAGCTCAAAGTTGTAAGTGTCACTATGAGAAAGAAGTTTCCTATTCAATGACTGTCATAAAACCAAAAAGGCATGTTTAGTTAAATAGAGCAACAAACAAGACAAAACCTGTTTTACTAAAACCTTGCAACCAGTGGATATAGAGCATTACAAAAGTCTCTCCAGTACTCAGATCATGATTGCTTTGAATGATCAGTTCAAATATGAATTATTTCATATATTCTTCATATGTTCACTCTTATTGACACTAGGCCAAGCTACAACACACCAAAGAGTGCTTAAGTTTCTAAAGTAATGACACATCTCATGATCAGCAAATGCCAATAACTGAAAGTAAACAGTGACATGAATTTTCTTAGAAGTTACCGAAAGTTATAGCAGGCACAGTGGCGGATCTTGGGGAAGGGCCCAGGGCCCCCCCCCCCCCTCCTATTTTGGGTAAAAAATAAAAAAAATGCAAAAGGAAGAAAAGCCAGCAGAACAAGCAACCCCTCACCCAAGGGTTCAAGGTCTGGATCTGCCACTGAGGCATAACTGGAATGAAAATTTTCATCCAGTGCTTACATTTTACCTTTAGTAGTAAATAAATTGAAGCAACACCTTACTTACCAAATTGTGTCTGAAACACTGGGTGCCCTGTGTCTCCCTCCATATAATAAGTTGACTATGGATAAATGACAACAAGATGTTTCAGTGACCAAATGCTCAGTGTTACAAAGAAGAAAAGTATGAAGAAAGGGAAGGAGAACAAAATTATTGTCTTTACCTCATTGAAATCTCCAATTCTAGGAATGTGATTTTTTCTTGTTTTTCCCAAGACAGAACCATTGTTGGAAATTATAACTGAAGAATATGACATTTGATTATAAGTTTAACATATTCATTAGAATACTGGGTTAATCAATATGTAAATTACATTATTTTACTAGCTTAAGATAAATGTACATTTGTTTAAGCACCTGTGGTGTTGTATATTTTGTCCTGGTGAACACCGTCTCTCTCCAGAATTGAAGAAACAATGACCATGTTGTGCTGTTTTGCAAGCTAATGAAACAAAAAGAAGAAACTTTTCCATAAATATTATCTGCTGCTAAATTATTATTTGTATTAATAATAATTATAACCCCAACAGAGTCTCTTTTGAATGGGATTCCACATCAAAAAAAAAAATTTTTGAGTAGCTATAGGTGGGTTAATTCATCATTGTCCTACTTGTACCATTTCAAAGCTACATATTAACTCTATCAGAAACAACAGCTTGAACAGTAGACTTAGAGATGATCCTGAGGTTGACTGTTCATTTTCAAACCATGCGGAATATGCAGGCAATTCAGAAAGCAAACTTCTTTAAATCTTCAATTGCAAGGAGCACAAAATACTTGATGGTTGGAACTATCATAACATTGTGAGTTTTGATTTCCTTTGAGTTTCAGTGTACCTGCTTTAGGAAACACTTGCTGAGGGACACCAAAAAATAAAACTCATTGATTCCCAGGGACATCACCTAAGGCTGGTTTTCACTAGGTGCAATTAAGCATAAGCTGACATGGGCATATGCAGTTCTTTAGATGTTGATAAATAGCAGCTTTTTTTTTAGGGAATTTCTTGACAAAGGTGATACATTTTGACTTACTTGACTTAAAACCTTTCATCCTGTGGGGGGCATACAGTAGGTCCTTAAGGAAGTCTCTCCATCTCTCTCTGTCCTGTGACTCTCTCTTCAACTGTTGCCAGTTTAAACCTGCCCCCTCATCCCCCCCCTTCATTGACCATCGCCAGCTGTTCCTTAGCGTGATACTGTTTATAGTGCCCTTTTGTTTCTGCACATGTTGATATTTTATGCTGTATACTTCATATCTATTGTTTCAGAGTAGACTCTTCATTTTTTTTTAAAGAAATCCACTATATCATCTCAGTTCCCTGCATAAAAGTACCTGATTGGATATCACTAAATCTGCTGTCAGTAATGAACTTACCTCCTGACAAAGTTTAACAGTGGGGCCATCTTCTGCTGACTCAGCAAACTCTGTCCATGGATGCTTTTCACGTGTACAAAAAGCAAATGGCATGGCTGTTGACCAAAACAGCAGAAAGCATGCTTACAAATAAAAAAGATTTGAACAAACATCTAACTTCCCTGTTAGTCAGCTAGACATAAACGGTTGACTTGATTTACTTGTTTAACTTTGTATATTTCTAATTAAACCATGCTGCATTTTTTTTTTACTTACTCCAACATTCTTGAAAACAGATTACATTAACTCCACACAGGGCTGCAGTCTCTGTGATTTCTTTTATTCTTGCATGGAGAGCTGACAGCTGTTAAAATGACACACAAACATTTCAACTTTTATATGTTCATCACCACATACATGTATACAAAACAGATATAGAAAGGTGATATAAAAAGACACTATAAATTATATTGGTCTGACACATTCTCACCATCCCCAGAGACAGAGAGCAGTATTGTTGGTTACCACTGACAACTGAGACCTAAACAGTCCCACAGGATGAAGTTTTGAGCATGCCCTGGGGACTCATTTTGATTGAAGACAATCAGATTTAAGTGAAGTCCGTCAATTACAGACTTCCACATGGGAACTGGAGTGGGAACACACCAGGGCTGAGACTAACCATTTTAACATCATCATACCTTCATATTAGGGGCATACTGTCATTTAAGCAGGGCAATCTTAAACTGATTAATTTTGATCTGTTCACCTGGTTTGCCAACGGGGCAGATGTGGGTAACACTATTTTATTCTGAACAGCTCCAATTCTCACAATACGAGGCCTGCGTAGTTGCTCTTCCTTGACCTCAAACTTGTATCCTGCCAGTTCAAAATTTCCTTCCTCTGCCAATTTCAATGCTGCCTCAGGTAGCTCCAATTTACTATGAATCCAGGAAAAAAACATGAGATGTTTATTTTGACTCTATATTAGTCCAGGAACATTTTTTAATCAAACCTGTCCAGAAAAAGCAAAATCAATATTTCTTAATTACTTGCTGATATTTATGGCTCTGTCAATTCCAAGCCCACTCATCCCCCCCACCCCCAGGGCATTTTCTCACAAAGGGCTGCCCAGGGCTGGGACATGTGACAATTTAGTCAGACAAAGAGTTCTACATTGGTACTTTTTGAAAACACAAGCGAATTTTTAATACAAGCATCAAAAGTATTAACCCTATGTAAAGAACATAAATGTAAATTCTTTTTCTGAAATTTGACCCATGCATTGGAAACTAGTTGTGCCCTACCAACACCCCAATAAATTCACGTTGGACTTCGGTGTGCGAGAAAATTGAGGTAAGAAACGATGGCAAACAGCATGATTGACAATTTTCATAGGAAGAGTTGTGTGCCTAGAAGGCTAATGAAACCTTCGGTACATTTTTTTGATAAATAACAATCAAATTTTTACTGATAAATATATATACATTCATTTTGATATCTAGGTTGAAGACTTATATTAGTTACCAGAAAATTTATTTTTGACGCTGTCTCGTGATCCCACTGTGGGGGCATTTGCAACCTTATGGAAACAAAATGTCAAATGCCCATCAAATACAGGGGTGGGGGGAAATGAGCAAGCTTAGAATTGACCGAGCCATAATATTTCTTTTGATTTGATGAATTATTTAGTGCTTAGCTAATCTGCTGGGTTAAGATGCCTCATATGCAACTGTGAGAAATGCAAATTGTGATGGGGGCACAGGAGAGGAATTTGGAGGGAAGGAGGAGGGAAGAGGTGAGTAGAAAGATGGGAGTTCAGATCGTCCCATGTCCATGCCCCCACCCCCCTCCCTTTAGGAGGTTGCTCTCAACGCATATTTTGATGGACATTTTCATCTGATAAAGAAAAAAAAAAATTGATTTTAGAGAGGGATGTCATGCAGGCACGTTTTCCAGCGAGTTGGGGGGCGGGAGGGGGGTGGGTGGGAGTGGTGTGTGGATAGATTGAGGAATGGTCTTAGTCGGTAAAGTGACTCCTTCCATGGTCTCATAAGGCAGCCAGAACAATGTACGTGTCTCGCGGTGAATAAACTTTTGCAGCTACAACACATTCGCAATTCACCTTAGTTTGCAATTTCAACATACCAGTTCACGTTGATGCATTGTACATGAGTCGATCGAGAAGTAATCTAAGACCGAATGTTCACGTGATTGTCTCGGCTGAGATGAAAAACTTACCTGACTGGTTTTCCATACAAAATCCTTTTCACTTCTTCCAGTTCCTTTGGTGGAAGGTGTTTCTCCAAACAACTTTCTAAACTCGTAAATTCGGCCGCCATCTTGTACCAGTTCACGCAGAACGACCTTGAGTGACCGATTGCACTCGAAAGAGTCTGGGATCAAAAAGTAACATTTTTTTACCAACTAGGGTAGGCTGGAGTAAAACATATTCATTCCCTATTATGTACCAAAGCTTTAAACGCATATGGAAAATTTTGCTTTCAAGTTGTTTCTATGAGATGAAATATTATTTTAAATAAAAATAATTCCATATGACTCAAAAAACGTTCGATGTTATGACTAGTCAGTGACCACCCCACCCTCCCTAACGCAAACGAAGGATCCGATCGCCTGATCTGATTCATTGAATGACTTCAATTTGTCCAGAGTTATAATGCATAGAGCAAAGCTCAGCGAAAATAGACGCTTCCCTTGTAGATTCACAGGCGTAGCCAAAAGGAATCTTCGTTCTGTCTGCTTGGAAACGTTTTCTTCAATTTTTAATGAAGTGAATTTGGAAATGTCCTGACGAATCCCGAGGGGCGCTGTGCAAAGTGACGTGGCGCGCCAAATTGCGAAATTTGACAAATAAACCTTGAAAATATTTGTCGAAAGACCGCAGCGTTACCTGGACAGCGAAGGACGATTGAAGTTTCAGGAAGACAGAGCTTTCCTATTGAGTAAGAACGCTCGGTAGTTCTTAGAAACGCATATTTGTACTATTTATGACCGGTAGCACGAGCTTCGTTTCAAGTGACATGGCTTCTGTGAAGGAAGAGATAGCGAGGTTGATGTGGAAACCAAGGCCTGATCGATCGACCAACATTCACGATTTTCAGTCAGTCGTGAACGAAGCTTTTGGCTTGGATTTAAGTGAGTCAGTTCTTTATTTCTAATTTATTTTTTGTTTGTAACTTCATCTTGTTATATCATTACGGTAGTACTTACAGTATGAAGTGTGATTCCATTTCAACAACAGTCGGGTGACGTTTGTTTAAATGAAATAAATATAAAATATATATACTTTAGCCTATAAGTTAAGTATAATTATCTGTACTTTGCCTAACCATTTGGATCTCCAGTTGTCAACTCACGTAGTATTGAGAGACTCGTATGTAGCCAGAAAAAGCTGTACACACCTCCAGACACACCCCCCATACTCCCCTCTTCCAGGATTACCCAATTATTTTAACAATGGAAGGATGAGTAATGTCTGATTGTGAGACTAAAAAAATTCTATTAGCTCAGTAAAATCCAACCCAGAGACAAATTTATTTGAACTTCCAAGAGTGGAAAATTTGTGTTACATTTGCGCCATCCACTGATAGTCAGGGCTGTAGCTAGCCAGCGAACCAAGGCACTTGCCTCTGTAAAAAGTTTGAATTTATTTATTTCCAGTTCCCATTAGAGGCTATATATATAAAAAGACAATATAAAAGAAGCCTTTTTTGCCTTTGTAAGAATTTTAGTCTGTTTACAGTTGTCATGGTGATTTATTCAGTGACTGGTATTATTCATCCTTTGAATAACTAGGTTGATATCAGCCATTATCAACCCAGTTGATAAAACCAAATTATCTTGTTATACTCCCCACCGACGCAGCACCACAGTTTCTTTAGAACTTACCCCCTCTATTCATAGGTTGATATCACACAGATTGATAAGTTGTAATTAATTTGTGAGGTGGATTTATAGGGCCCCAGTTTAGATGAGCCAAACTTAATACCAATTTTGACTAGTCCAAACTAGCAAAAGCATGCTAAGTTATTATCAAAATATTAAATACTGTACATATCTACTCTTCTTTTGAAATTATGTATACAGAAGCTTATGAGGAGCTGCGGAAATGGAGTGTCACTCATTATGTAGATTTCTGGGAGATGTTTTGGAAATATACAGGCATTGTCCATTCTCAACCATACGAAGAGGTATTACAGTTAGCTATGAGACAGTTAATTTATTAATAGTTTTTTTTGGTACCAGGGTGAAGACATTGATTAAAAAAGTTAGCCGTTTAGTTGGGCTTTGTGACATAATTTCCACTAAAATTATTAATGGAAATACCAGAAATGGAAAGAGCATGAAGCATGCTGCTAGATAGTAAGGTGTGATGGATATAAGATAGCACAAGTTGTAGAAATGAACAATATTGTAATATTATTAAGTTAACAAATAGTTCATAGCTGCTTTTAGTAGATAGGAAACCAGTATCTAATCTGCTAGTGAGAAGTCTTTTGCTGTACACATATTTTAAATTCTAACAAAATAATTTATGAGTACTCAAAGTGTATCAGGTTAATTGTCTGATCATTGCACACAGCAGTGCTATTCTAATTGGTAAGTAACATTTTTCATTCAAGGTTTTAGATCAATCTCAAGCAATGGCTGACATACCAGAATGGTTTCGTGGAGCTCGTCTTAATTTTGCAGAGAATCTTTTACGTTATGGTGATGACAAGGTTGCATTATACACAACAGGTATGCAAAACTTACTGGACCAAATTCATAATTAAGACAGATTCCGCTTAAAGTTCAAGCAATAAATGCAAAAATTATCTACTAAAAATCTACTCACAGCGAGGTAACTTTTTGAATACTATTTAAAACATCTCACTGTAATTCATTTCTCTAGGTGACCACACAATTAAATCCCCAAGCATTCTCAAGAAATTTTAAGTCAAACCTCGTAAGAATGCTCAAAGTGTGTGTTATTGTGTTTTCAACTAACGCAAAACGTCTGTTTTAGCTGAAATATGGATAACTTCAAGTTCAATTTTCTCTCATGGGGTCAGCTTGAGAGCTTAATTCTTGATAAGATCTTCTTACCTTTATTCAAAATATAACCATGCTATGAGGTAATTTTGGTAACTTTATTTTTGCCATTATTGCTCGAATGTTCTGCAGAAATCATCTTAAATATTTAAGCATTCTGATAGGAATTAGCAGACCAACCCATATTAAAGCATGGTAAAAAAAGTTTTTGAGACTATAATTCATCATTTTAACAATATGCCCTCTCAATCTTGTAACCAATGCAAAGATCAAGGTAATTAAAGTAACGTAAAGTTTGTATAAAAGCCAAGTGACCCATCATGCGGGCTCTTATCTCCAGTTTCCTTAGCATGAGGTGACTAGGAGTATTTCTTCTCTGCTCTGGATGATGGGATGTGCTAGTCGATCATAGGGTGACTCCCCGGGATTAAATTCTCCAGTACCCATTTATACACCTGAGCGGAAAGAGGCACTGTGAGAGTAAAGTGTCATGCCCAAGAACACAACACAATGTCCCCGGCCAAGGCTTGAACCTGGACCACTCAATCTGGAGTCAAGCACACTCTAACTATGAGGCCAGTGCACCTCCCACAATGTAAGGAGAGATAACACAAAATAAGAAAAAGAAAAACTCATAAGTGAGATAAAGTCTCAAAACAGACAAAACAACCTTTTTATTTTGCATATGCAGGGGAGGGACAAGACATTAAAAGCATAACATACCATCAACTAAAGAAGAATGTGACGCTGTTAGCCTCTGCACTCAAAAATCTTGGTATCGAGAAAGGAGACAGAGTTGTTGGTATGTACAGCACATCTTCATTGAGCATTTTATTACCTGGAAGTATATTGATATTATTGTTACTCAAAGACGTATTTTCATCTGACTAGTTGCATAATCTTTCACACAAACATGAAGAAGTACGGATTTCCTAATGTATAATTGCACTTGATTGATATTCAAGTATCCTGAGTGCATGCAAAAATACATGTTCAGGGAAGACTTTTTGTCTGTGGCAGTGAATAGGAGAGGTTTCCTGCACAGTTGACAGATTTTGACTTTTCCATTAATTACCCACTGATCTGTGACATCTTCCTCATCAATGATCCTGTTTTCTAAGAGCTTCAAGAACTAGCTACTGGCAAGTTTCCTCACTATAGGAGCTGTGTTTGCAAACAATCCTGAATGAACGCCCTTCTTTTGTCTTCCTTTCAAGGTTATATTCCCAACTGTGCCTTAGCTGTGGAAGCCATGTTAGCTACTGCCAGTCTGGGAGCTGTATGGAGTTCTACGTCACCAGATTTTGGTGTCACGGTAGTTACAAGTTCATGATTTTTGGTATTTGTTTAGAACTGCTTTTTAGTTCAGGGGTTTCAGTAAGGGCCAGGCACCAGGCACCAGGCAAATTGACCAGCTGTGTGGATGATTTTGCGTGCCTGCAGTTTGACCATCTAAAGGAAAGTTCTTGTTATAAAGAGGTTCCATTCAAAAAGTTTTACTTGCCTGTAAAAACCAGTCACTGTACCCTCTTGATGAAAATGATCAAGCTTAACTTGCAAACTGCAAGTCAGTAAAGAGGCCAAGTTACTGACATTGACATTCTTGAACCTTTTCAGGGTGTGCTGGATAGGTTTACCCAAATCAAGCCAAAGGTTATTTTTTCAGTGGAAGCAGTCAGATACAACAGTAAAATACACAACCACTTGGAGAAACTGACTCAAGTAGTGAAAAGTAAGTCAGCTATTTCAATAGTTTTGTTTTATAGTATTTCTACTTCATTAAATTTTGTCATTAAATTTGATTTTAAGTTAAAATAATTCACAACAGAGTCATGCATTAGCATAAAAATTAATCATATTGTGTTGAATATATTTCAGACCTTCCTGAACTAGAAAAAGTTGTTGTGATGCCTTTTGTTGGAAAAGCAGATGAAATTGATCTCTCTAAAATTCCTAACAGGTATGTATGGGACCATTTATCAATGTGAATATTTTCAACTAAGTCTGTTTCAATCTATAACCAATTAGTAGTGTGCTGACACTGACAAAGACAAGTTCTGTTAACTATGAAGTAAGCATTATTAATGACTGACTTGAGCCTTAGATATTAATTCTTGTCATGAGGTATAATGGCTACTGCATTAAGCCGGGTACAGATTGAGAGACCCAGGTTCACTTGTGGCCAGGCACAATTCTCTTACGGTGCTTCTCTCAACCCAAGAAATATTATTTCCTATGAACAAAATAACAAAAAATAATGATATCAGGCTTTTCTAATATCCCTATGGTAAGAACATACCTTTGTGAGCTTTATGCATATATTCAAGTTGTATTTAATTACCTCTCACTTTGATTTGCTCCTAGTGTTTTGTTGTCTGAGTTTGCAAAGTTTGCAGATGAAGAGCCAGTTCTTGAGTTTGTACAGGTTCCTTTCAATCACCCTCTGTACATCATGTACTCCTCAGGAACAACAGGGCCACCCAAGTGCATGGTTCATTCTGTCGGGGTGAGTCAAAAAATAGCAAACATTATAAAACTTCTTCCAGAAAAAAAAAAAAACATACTTTCCCCACAGAAGGGATTGGAATTTCCTTGGGTTGGGGTGGGGATTCTGTAAGAGCCAAAGATTTAAAGAAATTTATGAAGCTTTAATATAGGAATTTTTAGAGGAGTAGGGGTCTAAGGGAAAAACCCTTCCGTGGGGGAGGTATGGTTATTTTCAGGAACTACACAATGCAACTTTTGATTCACAAATAAAATAAAAAATGTAAGATCATACTACACTGTAGACTTGAATAACTTTTTAAAGACTGTTTAGTGGGACTTGTACTTTGGTTGTGCTTTTAATTTCTCAAGATATAATGTTGGATTTGACTCTAGTTGGCCCTTGCACAGTTGCTTGTTGTAATTTTTCAGGGTAAAAATTAAATTCAAATTTTGTAACATGCAAAAAATTTGATTAGATAATGGACAGTTAACTGAACCACTCATTGCATATCTTGAGTCAAAACCAAGCTAGATTTTTCACACAGGAGTAGCACAGGAGTAGCATTTTTGATTTTTGAGTTCTTGCTTAGTCAAAAACATCCGCTCTTAGTAAATACATTTTTGCTGTGGATTTGTAGGGAACATTGATCCAGCATCTTAAAGAACATGTCCTTCATGGAAACATGACCAGACAAGATGTGATCTTTTATTACACAACAGTAAGTAGCAGCAAGGCCATTCTTTTCAGCCTTAGCACTTGGATTGCATCAGATGTTACTGCGGATATACAGATTTGTCATCTCTAGCAGTGGTACTGATATTTTCATTGGGTTTTGTTTTGTCAAGTCACTAAAAATTCCCCAGATGCCCAATCTGTCTACGAATCTGCCGTTTGAGAATCAGACTGCTCAGTCATCAACAAACTCGTTTAATATAAATTGAACACTACCAAGTAGACATCCTACTTGATATCAAGGGCTACTGAAAATGATTTCATTTTGCCAACAAATTTTAAAAGTAATGCTTGTCTATTATACTATAAAAATTGACATGACTAGACTTTTCAAATCAATATTAAACTTCCCAGTTGCAGTAATATTGAAGACCCATAATGCCTGTAGAGACAAGCAAGCTCAGCTCCTCTCCCCTCTCTCCCCCAGTGTTTGCATTTTTCATGTCTTGCACTCAATTCACTTTTGGCAACTGGAAAATTGTATTTAAAAGTGTATAATTATTCAATCTTTATATGCAAATTACAACTCTTCTGTGTGAGTGACTGTAATGCATTTACATCATCTCTGTAGACAGGCTGGATGATGTGGAATTGGTTAGTGTCAGCACTTGCTGTTGGAGCCTCCTTGGTGCTGTATGATGGCTCACCATTCATTCCTACACCTCATGTCATATGGGACTTAGTTGACCAAATAAGGTGAGGTTTATAGAAATAATTATCGAATTACATGTATGTTATTGTGGAGGTGTGGTGGCCTCATGATTAGTGCACTCAACTCTGGATCGAGCAGTCCAGGTTTGAGACCTGGCCAGGGACATTGTGTTGGTGTTGTGTTCTTGGACAAGACACTTTACTAACACAGTACCTCTCTCCACCCAGGTGTACTAAGGGGTACTGGTGAATTTAATGCTGGGGGTAACCCAGCGATGGACTAGCATCCCATCCAGGGGGGAGTAGAAAAATTCCTAGTCACTTTCCGCTACTGAAATCGGGATAAGCACCAGCCTGATGGGCCACTTGGCTCGTATGCAGGCTTAACCTACTGCTATTTAGATTGACACTGGCCTAAAGTTGTCACCATTATTGACATCCTGTGTGGAGACCATTTTGGGATTGCTTTTTGCACTGAAGGTTAATAGAGTGTAACTGTTTTATTTGGTTGTTTGTTTGTTTGTTTGTTTGTTTGTTTTACTCTTTGTCTTGTGTCAAATTTCTCGCTTGACATGATATGGGGGAGGGGAACAGCAGATTCCAAATCTTTAATTCTGTTCTTGCTAGTTATTCTTAGAGGCTCTACCTTCTTTGTGATTTGTTTTATATAGCAAAATGTTATACAGTGTTGAAATTTGTTTTCCATATTATCTTGGATTCGTACTCCCTCAACCAATGCAGTGTTGGTTGAAGATGCTAGTCAATTAAACATTTAAAAAGTCTCCATAAATATTTTTCTTCTTGCACTGTAGAATAACCATTCTTGGTACTGGTGCCAAATGGTTGTCAGCTCTTGAAGATAGGGAAGTACAGCCAAGTAAGTGTCCTTGGTGGTCATGAGATAATTCACATATAAATGTGTTAAAGGTTGTCACAGGTCAGGAAATGGTCGGGAAAAAAAAACTTTCCTAGGTCAGGGAAAAGTCGGGGAATATTATTTTCAGTTAGGGAAAAATGACATTTTAATGAAAAGTTCAGGCAGGGAAAATTGAAATAATTAAACACGACTGATTTATAATATTGAGGGCTGAAAGAAACACTTTAATAGGGCTTCCTTAATGAAGAAGAAAAATTCGTTGAAAACGCATTTATTTGGTCTTAACTAATGGATGGAAAGGATGGCTGCAAGGCGAGGCTAGAAGTCACTACTATGTCGGACATTTTGTATTTATTTGGTTGGTGAAGTTTTATATTTATGTGGGAAAAGTCAGGAAATTTTGAAAGGTGATGCCGGGGAGGCAACCCTTTGTTAATTTCTCGTTCTTGGATATCGACAGAACGGAGGGGTAATACAGGCAGGCCCACGCTGACTTTTGTTTTATTCAATTCCAGTTAAGACACATAGCCTGTCAACCCTACACACGATTTTGTCGACGGGCTCCCCCCTGAAACCAGCCAGTTTTGACTATGTTTACAGCAGCATCAAGGAGGATGTACTTCTAGGATCCATCTCGGGTGAGTTTCCGTTATTGGTTTTGCTCATAATTTTCGTAGCATACGCACCTTGGGTGTAATTAACCAGAATCATGTCATGCCGTACACAGAGCCAATTACAAGGGTGGAAACCCGGGGGAACTCCCACATAAAACGGACGGGGGTGCTCATGGTACCTTGTAGGGGTTAAAAAAGCGGTGTTGGTACCTCTTAGGGTGTTCAGCCTTAAAAGGTCCACAGCGGCAGTTTTTGCGGTACCTTATACGGTATGATGGGCCACTTGGCCCGTACGCAGACTTTACCTACCTTACCTTTACGGTATAGAGCCGAAAAAATATGACGGGAGATAATGTGTTATGTAAAAATTGGTACCTATTAGGGGAGAAAAAATTTCAAGCCATGCCTACAAAACAGGATCTTGGTGTCTCCTAGGGGTTCTTTTCAAAATTTCCGACGAGCACCCCGGTCTTTTTTCAATGGGAGCCCCCCCGGGGGGAAGCCGTTGTGTCTGTTATTTATTGGCGATATTGCACGATTTTTACGCAGCCGTAAATTTTACTAATATTAGCTGCTGCGCATATAAGTTACATGGACGTGGTATGGAAGAGTTGCGTAAAGCGTTTTCTTTTTATGCCACGAATAACTCATGGACGAATTCTAACTTTCTGCTCTTTTCAGGAGGCACAGACATCATATCATGTTTTGCTGGTCAGAATCCAACTGTGCCTGTCTACCGCGGTGAAATCCAAACACGCAACCTTGGAATGGCTGTGGAGAGCTGGAGTGACGAAGGTAACCGTCTCATTTTGACCTATTCTTTCCCGCAAATTTGTCCCGTAGCTCAGTTCAGGCGCAAAGAAGAACGTTCGAACTTGGTGCGTTACAATTTTTTTATTTTTTCTCGACAAAAGGACTGGGGATTACGTTAGTCTAGGAAGTGAATAAAACCTTCTGGTGTTATTCAATCTGTACATTTGACATCGGCACAGTTGCAGACTAGACAATGTTTTTAAAACGTATCTTTTCTTACTGTGCCGTTTAGTTCCCAGATTAGAAAATATTGTTTTGAGGTCTGTTAGTTTTTTAATTTACGTGGTTTTCACATGATTACAACTGGTATCAAAACACTTACCTGGATAATCCCCCAAATTAAAACGTGTGGCTCGTCAAGTGGCCATTAGCAAGAATTTCCGCCCACTGAAGGAAGTTATGCGGGCTATAAATGTGACCACACGCACAAACATTACGTAATATAAATTTGAGCAGGAAAGTTGGAGACAAGCGGCCACCGTCACGCGACCAACCTGTCAATATCTACATTTAAAATCAAATGGTGCGTTTTATCGGCGACAACAGTTTTATTTCAGTTAATGAATGACAGCAACTGTTTCCCAGCTTATAATGAATCAATGAACTATCTCGTTCGTCAGGTGTCTAAAAAAAAAGAAGTACGGAAGGTCACAGAGCGAGTACTTATTTGGTAGCTCGCCAGTAACCGTAATACTACTAAGCTGGACCTTGCACTCTTCCCGTTTGCTGTCATCATTATTATAAAGTCGTTTTCCAGTCTTGCCAAGACCTACATTATTTGAGTCTTGCTAAATCCCCTGGATGGGTTTTCGATTTCAGTTAATCGACGAAGGACTAAATTGTTCCAGGAGTAGCACTAATTTGGAATTCAGTCATTTTAACTTCAAAGAGAGCTTTTGAGCAATCGCTGCCTAGGTTCCCAAAAATCCGGGAAAAATTGAGCCGTTAACAGCATAGCACAGAGACTTTCGTCTCCCGCATTGGCAAGTGGGACGGTAATTTTCTTGTGAGACATTAAACAGCGTGATTAATCGAGTTCAATGTAGTGTACCTGACATTTAAGTTGTTCGTGATGTTTCAGGTGAAGCAGTATATGATCAGAGTGGTGAGTTAGTCTGTACCAAGCCCTTCCCGTGTATGCCGATCTACTTTTGGAATGATCCACAAGGACTCAAATACAAAAAAGCCTACTTCAACAAGTTTGCAGGTGAGCGATGAAGCATTTATTTTGTCGTATTTGGGTCCAAAACTATCGGCCAGACTTCCCAATCATATTAAATCATTTGAGTTTAAAGAATTTTAAAAATTACATCAGGAAAAGAGATTTAAGCATTTTAATTGATGAGCCTGATGATTGTAACTCTTTTTAGGTGTCCCCAATTAGCAGCAATGCTAAATCTCATTGACACGTAAATAAAGTTATTATTATTATTATTATTATTATTATTATTCATTCTTAGCGAGGATAGAACTGTTTTCTAACGAGTAATCACCTAGTCAATCGCTTAAGACATAGTGCAATAAACCGATCAATGGCGGCAAACACAGGACTGATTATCGCGTGCAGGGCAAAAGCACGACTGGATTTGATTATGTACTTACTGAATACTTTTGCTCAGGTTGCCTAGAGCACGCCCCTCGAGAAAACGTAAAACCTAAAGCAAACACACACGTAAACTGGACTAAACTGGCAAGTCATTAGAACATTCACTTGTTGTACCTTCGGCATCGTCGCTGAAAGGGAATTTTGGGGTTAAATTAGGGGCGTTAAGGAAGGCCCGTTTACGAAAAGATGTGATTGGTCTATTAGAGTTTTGATTGTGTTTTAGTTTTAGCTTCATAACAGCTAGTAGAAAAAATAAGTGACGAGATTAAAAACAAATCAACAGTCAGTGCTACACTTGAGCAAGAGTACTGTGCGTCCGAAGCGTAACTGATCTCATTCTGTCATATATTGTCACAGGTGTATGGACTCACGGAGACTTCTGCTCAGTCAGTTCTTCCACTGGAGGAATTCTTATGTTGGGAAGAAGGTAACATGGAAGCAATAAAGCGTTTGGCGACGAAGAGTTGATCGACGATAACATCCCGAATTGAAGGCCGGCTGTAATCGTGACATGCTGGCGACCGAACCCGTTCAACTGTGGCTCCCTATGGAGCACTTTACAATCACCCGCTTGAGGCTCAGACAATGACCCTTCCCCACGTACATTTCGTTTTAAAATTTAGCAAAAAGCTGCAGTTTATCCATTTCTGTGAACTGTCGTATGGTCCTCTTGATAATTTTGGGGGGTCTTGCAGTTGAACAACACCCCCTCTCGGAAGTACTTCATTCGGATTTCTTAGTAGCATTGTTGTGATAATTACTGCGAACAAAGAAAAAATAAATAGATAATATAAATGAACGAGACACTAGAGACAAGGCAGAGTCACTAATTACATTTCACTAAGATTGGTGAACAATTTTGACAACAAGCCAATTCTGAAATCTAACTGAAATACAAACTGATTACCTTTTAAAGTTATCGAGAGCTCGCACAAATTCATCCACGGCAATGTGGCGGAAATTCCCAAACAGAACCCACCATTAATTGTATTTGTCGTCTTGTGTCCTACTTGTTATCAAACCAAACGGGTGTTTGCGAATTTTTGTCTCTTTTTGTTTTTAATTCAGTGATGGAACTCTTAACCCAGCCGGTGTCAGATTCGGGAGTGCGGAAATTTATAACATAGGTCAGTTTAAAAAGTTTTCTCTAAATATTTCAAGACTGTTTTTTTCAATTTTTTGTGGCTACCTTTCTTAACTGTGCTGATCAGTAGATACTATATCTCTAACTGCTTTCTAAATGAACTGTTGCAGTGGAGAAATTCGACGATGTGGAAGACAGCTTGTGTGTTGGTCAGCAAACCGACGATGGAGAGCGCGTTGTACTGTTCCTGAAAATGAGCAACGGATTTACGTAAGAGAACATTTATAATTACTCACCGAAATGAAAAGAGGTCAAAGCCATGGGTAAAGAGGAGATAGTGAGATTCCAATAATATGAGTCCCAACGGGACACCAAAACTTGGCCCGGCGTGTTAACGACGTGGTCGTTTCAAAGGGTTCCTTAAACACAAGAAATGACTAACTTGAGTTTTGTTCGGCCAAACTAGTGTTCGTCATAATCAGGAAGCCCTGATGCGCGCTTGCTTGCACTGTACAAAGAATGTACGAATCGTTTTTCGCTGATTTCCTCTGCCCAAAACGCTTTTGGCATTTTGGGCGCAATTTAAAATCTAATGTTCAGAGAAAAGGGTATTATCAGTCAATTAGCCAATCAGATTACGAGAAGTGAATTATTTACTATCTTGCTAAAGTCCGTACGAAGGCGAACAAACTTTGTAGCAATAGCAGTTACTTTATATACTGTATATACCCAGGCGAAATTTGCGACTGCCATTTTACTGGTGGTAGTATTGTCTCACATAAAGACGACCGGTGGTCTTTTCATGAGTTACTTTAAAAGCTCTACTTGCAAATATTTTATTATCAAAGGAACGGTGGTATGTTATATGTAACACACCTGCCTTCAACGAAAAACAGTTCATAGCATTAGTGATTCGTAAATATTTTTTTTAAAATAGTTGTTCATTTTTGTACTTTTTAGTTTTAACGAGGAGTTACTGGCTCGGATAAGAACTACAATCCGTCAGCGACTGTCAGCGCGACACGTACCAGAGATTATACTTGAAACAAAAGAGATCCCTTACACAGCAAGCGGAAAGAAAGTGGAAGTAGCCGTGAAACGGATAATTGCAGGAGAGCATATCAAAAACAGAGGAGCGCTCGCTAATCCCAACTCCTTGGACCTTTACTATAACATTCTCCAGCTTAAACAGGGATAGTGTTGAAGACATAAGAGTAGAAACAGAGTAGAGGAATATTTTTCAAACTTTTCCTGACTCCTGCACGGCACTCTCGGGCTCTCAAACTGAAACAGTAGAATGGAGACCATCCCAACACAATAGTATCTTCCAAATGTACAATTTAGTGGGGAAGAGTTTTAATATTTCACTGGGAGAAAAAAAACATACAAATGACTTTCATGGGTCGCGTGATCTAGGAACCTGTTCGCATTACCAGTCGCATCTCCAATTTGATTTCAAAAGCATCCACGTGTGAAAAAATGAGAGATTATGACTTGCAAAACACACAATCGACAACACACGAGGCCATACGGTGAATCTAAACGTGGATATATTCGCCGCTGTCGAGTCGAGCCTTGACATGGTACTTGTGGGCATGAAATAACCTGATTATCACTAGACATTGAGGAAATACTTTCCAGGGAAAACATTGTGATGAGGTCAATATTTGTAATTATGGGAACATGTGATACAGTACGTATTTTTACTCGTCGGTTTTAATTTTAATGAAAAATGTGATGAATTTATACTGTGCACGATACTTTTGACTCTGAATGACGTCCAACACCCTTTATCTTTGATCGCTTTTCTTTCCTTTCGTAGTCAGCTTTACTGTCACAGCCAAAGCAAAAATGGCCTAGACATCGCGGCTTGCCTTTCCAATGCGCTCCTTCTTGACTCTTAGATTGCACTCGGTTGTGTGTTCATCCATATCAGTATAAATCGTCAGTGGCCCTAACTCGATAGTAAAGGAACACTGATTTGAGCCAAAGCCAGACCTAGGCTCCTAACCTTGTACCGGAGTTTTCACTAACAGTCTACCAAGTTCGCTTACCAGCCAAGGGTAGGAAAACTCGCAGATTTTGTCTTAAATAGGGTAAGGGTTTGGGAGGCGGGCCTCACATCCCCGCACAATATTTCGTTAAATACACCCCCCCCCCCCCCCCCCCCCCCCAGAGAGTTATCATGATTTTTACCGAAAGTGTTCTCCAATCCAATTCAGCCAATGCAATTACCGTTTATGTTCAAAGATGGCCTCCAATGCTTTTGGTTATTGGACAAGTAAACTCAA